GGGGCTGGGGGGGCGTCTCTCCCCACCTCCTCACCTCCCTGAACCTCAGTGAAAGCACATTCCTACCCCGCTTGGGCATTTGCCTGAGCCATTCCGTCTGTTGCTGGCAGGATGCTTGCCCAGGTGCTTGGGTCTGCCCCTGCCTCGGCTCTGCAGGGGGGAGCCATGTGGCCCCGCCTCTCCCTTGCGTGGAGCACCAGCATGACACGGCAGGCTCCGTGGCTCCTCTGCACTTCCGTTCCCCGCCCCCCCAGGAATGGTTGGTTTTGAGGCCCCCTCGGATCAGGAAGGTAAAGTGCTCCCCAGGGGGTGCCTGAGATAGGGCAGCAGCCTAGCCCATGACATGGAGACGCTCTGCTCTGTGAGTCTTCCCCTGCCCCATTGCCCGGCCCTGAGACCACCACCACCCTGGAGCATCCCGCATAGCGGCAAGGAGCTTCAGAGAAGGGCCTTTCCCAACCTCTGCCCGATGGAACTTCTTAGCCAGGACCTGATTATGACCTCGTTGATGACCATGCTACTGTCATAGGCCCGAGTCTTTGGGTCCCAGGCATGGGTGAGACCATCTGCTGTGACCCCCACCACTGCTCTTACAGAAGACAGCGTTCCATGTCCCGTGTTCTGATTGGGCTCCTTCACCCTTGAAGCGCGAGGCTCAGGGGGATATACTTGTCGGCAGTGACCGCTGAATGGGGGCTCCCAGGTTCTGACCCCCAGAACCCGTGAATGGAGCATCATGGGAAATGAGTTCTTTGCAAATAGAACTAGTCAAGGATCTTGAGAGCATCCTGGATATGGGGTGGACCCTGAATCCAGGGACTGGTGTCCTCATAAGAGACCGGAGAGAAGATGGAGAAGATACAGAGGAGAAGGCCGTGTGAAGAGGGAGGTAGAATCGGGGTGACACAGAAGCCAAGGGATGCCAAGGACGGTGGGCAGCCAGGAGAGAGGTCCGGGATGGATTTGCCCTCAGAGGCCTCAGAGGGAACCGTCCCTGCACACACTTGGCTATCGGACTTCTTCCTTCCAGAACTGTGAGAGTCCGTCTCTGTTTTCTTCATCCCCCCGGCTTGTGATGCTTTGTGACGGCAGCCCCAGGACAGCAAGACAGGCGGCTCCCTGAGGCTATCATGTCTCCCTCTGCACCTCATGAGCCGGGATGACAGGCGCCATTCTCCTTTCAGAAGAGGAGGGGACTCTGGGACCCTGTCGGAGCAGGGCCTCAGGAAGACAGTGGTTCAGACTGCGTCCATCCTGGCAGCACAAACTGCTGCCCCTTAGCCCAGCAAGCAGGCTGTGGAGAAAGCACCAGAACCAGAAGGTTAACAATGGTTTGTCAGGGTAACAGCGTCACGACACTGACGTCACAGTAACAGCACGCAGCGTGTCTCCTCTCGGTGCCACAAACCAGGCAGGAAACTTCACGCGGTGGCCTTGAGGGCTCCACACCAACTCTGTGTCGCACCCTGTATGCGGTTCAGGTGTGCAGAGCGGGACATAGTCTCTGATTTGAAGTCGTGCGTCTGTTGGGCACCTGGCATGTCACCATCTCCAGGGGCCCTCAGACACAGATCCTTGACCAGTAGC